ATTCACTAAAATTCACTGATTAGTCACTGATATTCCCTGATTATTCACTGCTGATATGAGGAGGCAGTAAGTTCACGTTGTGTGTGATTATGAGATTGCCCGTTGGCGCTTCACATCTTAATTAAACTAATTACATCATAGTTTAATGAGCCTGACACATTTTTCTGCTTGCAATGCTGATCTCTTAAAGCAATATTTGAGCAAACAGACGCACACGCCTCCAGAAGCTCATTCAGTGCCTGCTGCGCTGCTCTCCTACAGCGCGCACTCACACACACACACACACACACTTCATCAGGTACATGACAGAGTGTTTTATCAGCACATCACTCTCAGTGCATTAATAAAGCATGTGCGCGCATATTCATGGCTGCTGTTTTATAACATCCACATGCACAGTTGTGTTTCACAGCAGTCATCATATACTCATTATTCACTGATGATTATTCATTGATTATTGATTGCTATTCACAGATTATTCACTGCTTACTCACTGATGATCCTTCATTGATTATTATTGACTGAGGATTATTCATCACACAATGACACAACACAAAACCATGAACAAAGCTAAACAACCAATACACGATTCCACAACAACAAAAACTGTGCCTGACCGTCACAACACACAACAACAAAACAGATCAACAATACAAACAACAACAGAGCAACAAGACATGCCAACACCAACAACATCACACAACACAACTCAATAAGACAACTCAACAAACAACATGACAAGACAAACAACACCCAACAATACTCAACTGAACACTAACAGCACGACATGAGCTCCAGCATCGCCACCTCTGGAAGAGCTCCACTACTGACAGCAGCCAGCGGCGAGAGCCAGCACCGCTCATAACAGAAGCCCACCAGCACCATTGGTGGAGGAAAACAGAAGCGCACTGTTCAGAAGTGAACCTACACACACTCACACACACACACACACTCACACACACACACACACACTAACCTGCTCCATGTTAAATTATTCCCAATTACAGTATTGTTGCCATGACAACACAACGCCCACAACCACCATGAAAATAATGAGATTTGCGAGCTAATACGGCTCCGAATGACGCAGTTAACAGAAGAGAGCTGTGCGTTACTGCCATTATAATATTGTGTTGGAGCAGTACTGCAGGATATTCCCTCCAGGAGAGAAGCGCTTCAGCACAGCACACAACACACTGCCCTCCTCACACAGCTCCTGCTCCAAACAGCCACAGATTCAAGACCAACACTTTACAATAATGATGCTTCAGTTAATGTTGGAGTAATGCTGTAGAGCTTTCTGAATCACTGTTCAACATTAACTGATGCGTGATTACAATACTGATTATTCTAACTCAAACAGCATTAGCTAACATGACTAAATCCTGCAATAAATGTGTCACGGGCAGCTTGTTCACGTTAGTAAACACATTAACTAATGAAGCATTATTGTAAAGTGTTAGCGCTGCTTCTAGACCAGCAAAACTACAGTGTTGTGTAAGCCCTGTGCTCTGTTCACACATGTTGTTCAGGATGAATGTGTGAATCAGACTCAGTCCTGATCTAAACTGCTCCATTGTTTAGTAAATTACAGGATTTGAACTCTTTAATTCAAACATGATGCCAGTGATTTGCTGGAAAACACACAAAATGGCGTATTTCCACAATACAGGTAGTTGTGGACGGGATGTGTTTAATCTCAGTGTTGGACGTGTGAGTGATCAGGATCAACACTGGCTCTGGTGCACTGCTGGATTCTCATCTTCTCTCCCTGATTTACTGTTGTTGACTTCCATTATAAGCACATTTGATGATGCATAAACTCACAGTCTTTGCTTTTGCTTACTCCATGTAGTTGCATGAAGGTCTCTCTGTTATATACATATTAAACCCAGAAACAGAGCTGCCTCAGCACAGGCCTGTCTAAAGGGTTAATGCTGCACGCTGATGATCTGCAGCTGAATGACACACGTCACCTCGTCATGACAGGGCAGACACCAACAATCAAGAAATGCTGTCATGGCTGTAATCATACAAGCTGCTTATAATGTTCAAAATCAGGAATCAGGGAGAAAAGATGAAACTCTGCCGATGCATCAGAGCCAGCGCTGCTCCACGACAACACCGAGACAAAAGATTTAGAGCACAGTCCACACCTGCTGTTTACACTAGAATACGCCATTGTGTGCTTTTCCAGCAAATCAGTGAAATCATCGAGGAGTTAAAGAGTTTAAATCCTGTAATTTACTAAACTATGGAGAAGTGTAGATCAGGACTGAGGCTGATGAACACACTAATGCAAACAAATGAGACACTAGTGAATCTGATGATGCGCTTCACAGCAGTTCAGCTCAGCGGAGGATTCATCCAGAACACAACACTCGGGTCATGAGTCCGCCAGACGGGAGTCGCTCAGTTATTCAAATAATCACAGCATTTCCTCAACACGCGTGTCCAAATCAGATCCGTTACCAAATCCCTTCTGCTAGCTGAAGCAGAGAAAGTTCTGTCCAAATCAAGCCTCAAAATCAGCCCAGACCCAACAGCACACTGAGTTAGAGAACCACGAGTCAACGTGAAGTCTTTCCTCAAAACAGCAGAGCAATCTGAGTCAGGAGAATCAGCTGTCAGGAGGAAAACTGGGTTTGTGTTAGGGAGAAGCGCTCTTCATCTCGCCTGCTCATCTCTGAACACTGGACTAGACTGGACTAGACTGGACTAGACTGGACTAGACTGGACTGGACTAGACTGGACTGGACTGGACTAGACTGGACTAGACTGGACTGGACTAGACTAGACTGGACTAGACTGGACTGGACTGGACTAGACTGGACTGGACTAGACTGGACTAGACTGGACTAGACTAGACTGGACTGGACTGGACTGGACTAGACTAGACTGGACTAGACTGGACTGGACTAGACTAGACTGGACTAGACTGGACTAGACTGGACTAGACTGGACTGGACTAGACTAGACTGGACTAGACTGGACTGGACTAGACTAGACTGGACTGGACTGGACTAGACTGGACTAGACTGGACTGGACTAGACTAGACTGGACTAGACTGGACTGGACTGGACTAGACTGGACTAGACTGGACTAGACTGGACTGGACTAGACTGGACTAGACTGGACTAGACTAGACTGGACTGGACTGGACTGGACTAGACTAGACTGGACTGGACTGGACTAGACTGGACTGGACTGGACTGGACTGTACTGGACTGGACTGGACTGGACTGGACTGGACTGGACGGTTCACTCGTCTAGAAGATGCTGACTGATTTAGGACTGTTCAGATATGTGGACTGGAAACAGACACACGCTGTGAGCTGGGGGAGTGTGTTTGCAGTGCAGAGATGAGCTGATCTCAGGTCAGGTCAGATGATGGAGAATGAGAGCTGTATCTTCAGTGTGTGAGTGATGTTAATCAGAGCGACTGTAATGAGTGCAACTCACGACACCGACGCCTCCAGCATCCTCAGCATTCAGTGTTTACTGACTGGAGATTAGAGAACACACACACACACACACACACACACACACACACACACACACTGCTGCACTGGGATCAGCTTTATTAGCCAACATCATCATCATCATCATCATCAGTTGACTGAAGTAGATCCAGCACTCGTCTCCACAGCCGCAGCTCAGCTACACACACACACACACACACACACACACACACACAGCACTGCACTTCATTACACTGCACACTGCACAACACACACACCTCAGAACACAAGCACACCGCACCGCACAACACACACACACACACACACACACGAGTGCTTTACGTTTAGTTTCTAGTGCAAATATGTGAGAACTCTTCAGTCAGTCATCTCTTTCCAGAGCAGCGAGACCTTCAGTGGTGTTTCCCTGCGGCGCTCAGAGGACTCTCCCCCAGAGCAGACGACTGAATAACCGCAGCGATGCACCGACAGCAGGAGATCCACCGTAAATAAAGTCTGAAGATATTTTAAAGAATGTTGGAGTCCACCAGAGACTGCTGCAGCACTCTACCCTACTGCGGAGATCGAGGACAGTCCAACCCAACATTCCTCTAAATATCTCCTCCTGTGTTCAGCAACAGACTTGGGTTTGCTGTGTGAGTGTGTGTGTGTGAGTGTGTGTGTGAGTGTGTTGGACTCACCGTGGTTGGCTTTGCTGTGTGTGGGTGTGTAGTGGTTCTTGGAGCGCTGCGGCGTGTCGTCTTTGGATGAGCTGTTCATCGCAGCAAAGTTCTCACAGTCGTACTGAGATATGGGGATGGGGCCCTGCTGCCGGAGGATATCAGCCAGCGCTCTGCAGACACACACACACACACACACACACACATTAAAGACAAGAAAACATGAAAACTGCAGCACCTCCAGTTCAGCTGACCACACATACACACACACACACACGCACACACACACACACACACACACACACACACACACACACACACACACCAGTGTTCCGCTGTCAGTGTTTTCAGAGGTCTGCATGTTTACTGTGAGCAGAGGAGATCTCAGTACAGCACACAGCACAGCACTGACCTCACACTCACACACACTCACACACACACACACACACACATATATATGAGATATATAGATATATACAGATGGCACACATCAGTCTTCCGTCTCCTCATATTAAGCTTCCTCTCTGGTGTGTGTGTCGGTGTGTGTCGCTGTGCCGTGTGTACGGTGAGCCTCCATCATGTGGATGAGTGCAGTCTCACACTAAACATGCTGGGTTGTTGTAACTCATCATTGGGTCAAATATGGACAAAACAGCCGCTGGGTTAAGACATGCAGTGGAGATGTAGTTGAATGCTCAGCAGCTCAGCCACATCTGCAGATATACTGTCTATAACCCTGACTGACTACTGTAGAGAGAGAGAGAGAGTGTGTGTGTGTGTGTGTGTGTGTGTGTGTGTGTGTGTGTGTGTGTGTGTGTGTGTGAGGCACTGTATTAAAAACTCTGACCACAAAAGAGCTGCAGAAACGGCTGACCTCAGACCAGCTTTACCCAGATGTCCAGCAGTTCCCGGATCAGCTCCTCACCTGTGTATGTTCATCTCCTGCGGCGGCTGCGTCGCCTTGTCGTACGCCACTTTCGTGGAGACCCCGATGAGGATGATGAAGGCGATGATCCCGCAGGTGATGTACACCGCCGTGTTCGTCTGGTCCAGGCTCGGGTCGTACGTGTCGCCGGTGGGCACCGGAGAGGCCGTCACCGTCTTCACCCAGTCCGGCTTGTGGTAGTTCTTGCAGGTGCGCTGGTCGAGGCGGTTCCCCTTGAACTGGCAGCAGAAGCGCAGGTAGCAGGAGCCGCAGCAGTACCGGTGGTCGGTGTTGTTGCACTCGAACTCTTTGTCGTACTGCCCGCTCACGTCGAAGTATCCGCGGCAGGTCTCGTGCGTGTGCGCCGGCCGGACCTGCGTGCTGCGCTGCGTGGCGGCGGAGGGCGCGACGGTGGTTCCGTTCATCTCCCGGGGCTTCGGGCTCCTCCGCGGCGCGGGTTTGACGCGTTTGGCGCTCAGGGTGCAGGAGACGCTCAGCGGGTGCAGGGAGAGCAGCAGCAGCAGGAGGTGGCGGATCCCCATGGCTCCTCAGCGCTCGGTGCGTTCCGCGTCTCTGGTGCTCTGCGTCCCCGGTACCGACACTCCGAGAAGACGCGCCATTCACCGGAGCCGCATGTGCTGCCCCATCACCGACTGCGGAGCGAAGCGGTGCGTCTGTCGCGGATCACGCGTCGCGGTGCATCGCGCTGTGGAGCAGAACAGAGGATAGACTCGTTACTCAGGCGGAGGATCAGTCCAGCGGACCCGCGCCTGCCGCTCCGCAGTCCGCACGAACACATCTGATCAGATTCATCGATAATCTATAATCACGGTGCTGTGTCTCAGGCTCTCTCATTCCCTCTAATAAACGCTGCATGTAGATCAGTCAATCAGAACACAGGAGAGCACACACACACACACACACACACACACACACACACACACACACACACGGAACTCGACACGGTCTGTATGTCTCCGTTATCGGCTCTTCAAATGACTTTGACGGTGCATTAGTCAGTTTCGGTGGTCTGTAGATGATCCACACACACACCCGGTTACACAAGCTGAACACACACACACACACATATATATATTCAGTCAGAGTTGTGTCTACTGCAGAGGCGGAAGAATATTGATCAGCTCATAGTGTTTCTGCTGTGTGGTGATCGGCGCTTACCGTGTCTCCGGTGCTGCGGTCGGTGTGCGGTTTGTCGATGAACTGAAGAGGCGCTCACAATCCCGGACTCACCATCTGAACACCCGCCTACCGGGAGCCGCTCTCTCTCTCTCTCTCTCTCTCTCTCTCTCTCTCTCTCTCTCTCTCTCTCTCTCTCTCTCTCTCTCTCTCTCTCTCTCTCTCAGCCTCTGCTAGAGTTGCTCCTCCTTTTCCTCCACATAAACCCTCATATTAATGTTTCATATGTGCAGAAATTTACACAACACTGGAGAGCTGGACCACAGTAGCTGATCATTCTGCTGTAGCTCCTCCTCCTCAGTCCAGCATCAGTTGCTGTAGCTCCTCCTCTTCAGTCCAGCATCAGCTGCTGTAGCTCCTCCTCCTCAGTCCAGCATCAGCTGCAGTAGCTCCTCCTCCTCAGTCCAGCATCAGTTGCTGTAGCTCCTCCTCTTCAGTCCAGCATCAGCTGCTGTAGCTCCTCCTCCTCAGTCCAGCATCAGCTGCAGTAGCTCCTCCTCCTCAGTCCAGCATCAGCTGCAGTAGCTCCTCCTCCTCAGTCCAGCATCAGCTGCTGTAGCTCCTCCTCCTCAGTCCAGCATCAGCTGCTGTAGCTCCTCCTCCTCAGTCCAGCATCAGCTGCTGTAGCTCCTCCTCCTCAGTCCAGCATCAGCTGCTGTAGCTCCTCCTCCTCAGTCCAGCATCAGCTGCTGTAGCTCCTCCTCCTCAGTCCAGCATCAGCTGCTGTAGCTCCTCCTCCTCAGTCCAGCATCAGCTGCTGTAGCTCCTCCTCCTCAGTCCAGCATCAGCTGCTGTAGCTCCTCCTCCTCAGTCCAGCATCAGTTGCTGTAGCTCCTCCTCCTCAGTCCAGCATCAGCTGCTGTAGCTCCTCCTCTTCAGTCCAGCATCAGCTGCTGTAGCTCCTCCTCCTCAGTCCAGCATCAGCTGCTGTAGCTCCTCCTCCTCAGTCCAGCATCAGCTGCTGTAGCTCCTCCTCTTCAGTCCAGCATCAGCTGCTGTAGCTCCTCCTCCTCAGTCCAGCATCAGCTGCTGTAGCTCCTCCTCTTCAGTCCAGCATCAGCTGCTGTAGCTCCTCCTCTTCAGTTCAGCATCAGCTGCTGTAGCTCCTCCTCCTCAGTCCAGCATCAGCTGCTGTAGCTCCTCCTCCTCAGTCCAGCATCAGCTGCTGTAGCTCCTCCTCTTCAGTTCAGCATCAGCTGCTGTAGCTCCTCCTCCTCAGTCCAGCATCAGCTGCTGTAGCTCCTCCTCCTCAGTCCAGCATCAGCTGCTGTAGCTCCTCCTCCTCAGTCCAGCATCAGCTGCAGTAGCTCCTCCTCCTCAGTCTAGCATCAGTTGCTGTAGCTCCTCCTCCTCAGTCCAGCATCAGCTGCAGTAGCTCCTCCTCCTCAGTCCAGCATCAGCTGCAGTAGCTCCTCCTCCTCAGTCTAGCATCAGTTGCTGTAGCTCCTCCTCCTCAGTTCAGCATCAGCTGCTGTAGCTCCTCCTCCTCAGTCCAGCATCAGCTGCTGTAGCTCCTCCTCCTCAGTCCAGCATCAGCTGCTGTAGCTCCTCCTCCTCAGTCCAGCATCAGCTGCTGTAGCTCCTCCTCTTCAGTCCAGCATCAGCTGCTGTAGCTCCTCCTCCTCAGTCCAGCATCAGCTGCTGTAGCTCCTCCTCAGTCCAGCATCAGTTGCTGTAGCTCCTCCTCCTCAGTCCAGCATCAGCTGCAGTAGCTCCTCCTCCTCAGTCCAGCATCAGCTGCTGTAGCTCCTCCTCCTCAGTCCAGCATCAGCTGCTGTAGCTCCTCCTCCTCAGTCCAGCATCAGCTGCTGTAGCTCCTCCTCCTCAGTCCAGCATCAGCTGCTGTAGCTCCTCCTCTTCAGTCCAGCATCAGCTGCTGTAGCTCCTCCTCTTCAGTCCAGCATCAGCTGCTGTAGCTCCTCCTCCTCAGTCCAGCATCAGCTGCTGTAGCTCCTCCTCCTCAGTCCAGCATCAGCTGCAGTAGCTCCTCCTCCTCAGTCCAGCATCAGCTGCAGTAGCTCCTCCTCCTCAGTCCAGCACCAGCAGCTGTAGCTCCTCCTCCTCAGTCCAGCATCAGCTGCTGTAGCTCCTCCTCCTCAGTCCAGCATCAGCTGCTGTAGCTCCTCCTCCTCAGTCCAGCATCAGCTGCAGTAGCTCCTCCTCCTCAGTCTAGCATCAGTTGCTGTAGCTCCTCCTCCTCAGTCCAGCATCAGCTGCTGTAGCTCCTCCTCCTCAGTCCAGCATCAGCTGCTGTAGCTCCTCCTCTTCAGTCCAGCATCAGCAGCTGTAGCTCCTCCTCCTCAGTCCAGCATCAGCTGCTGTAGCTCCTCCTCCTCAGTCCAGCATCAGTTGCTGTAGCTCCTCCTCCTCAGTCCAGCATCAGCTGCTGTAGCTCCTCCTCTTCAGTCCAGCATCAGCTGCTGTAGCTCCTCCTCCTCAGTCCAGCATCAGCTGCTGTAGCTCCTCCTCCTCAGTCCAGCATCAGCTGCTGTAGCTCCTCCTCTTCAGTCCAGCATCAGCTGCTGTAGCTCCTCCTCCTCAGTCCAGCATCAGCTGCTGTAGCTCCTCCTCTTCAGTCCAGCATCAGCTGCTGTAGCTCCTCCTCTTCAGTCCAGCATCAGCTGCTGTAGCTCCTCCTCCTCAGTCCAGCATCAGCTGCTGTAGCTCCTCCTCCTCAGTCCAGCATCAGCTGCTGTAGCTCCTCCTCTTCAGTCCAGCATCAGCTGCTGTAGCTCCTCCTCTTCAGTCCAGCATCAGCTGCTGTAGCTCCTCCTCCTCAGTCCAGCATCAGCTGCTGTAGCTCCTCCTCCTCAGTCCAGCATCAGCTGCAGTAGCTCCTCCTCCTCAGTCCAGCATCAGCTGCAGTAGCTCCTCCTCCTCAGTCCAGCATCAGCAGCTGTAGCTCCTCCTCCTCAGTCCAGCATCAGCTGCTGTAGCTCCTCCTCCTCAGTCCAGCATCAGCTGCTGTAGCTCCTCCTCCTCAGTCCAGCATCAGCTGCTGTAGCTCCTCCTCCTCAGTCCAGCATCAGCTGCTGTAGCTCCTCCTCCTCAGTCCAGCATCAGCTGCTGTAGCTCCTCCTCCTCAGTCCAGCATCAGCTGCTGTAGCTCCTCCTCTTCAGTCCAGCATCAGCTGCTGTAGCTCCTCCTCCTCAGTCCAGCATCAGCTGCTGTAGCTCCTCCTCTTCAGTCCAGCATCAGCTGCTGTAGCTCCTCCTCTTCAGTCCAGCATCAGCTGCTGTAGCTCCTCCTCCTCAGTCCAGCATCAGCTGCTGTAGCTCCTCCTCCTCAGTCCAGCATCAGCTGCTGTAGCTCCTCCTCTTCAGTCCAGCATCAGCTGCTGTAGCTCCTCCTCTTCAGTCCAGCATCAGCTGCTGTAGCTCCTCCTCTTCAGTTCAGCATCAGCTGCTGTAGCTCCTCCTCCTCAGTCCAGCATCAGCTGCTGTAGCTCCTCCTCCTCAGTCCAGCATCAGCTGCTGTAGCTCCTCCTCTTCAGTCCAGCATCAGCTGCTGTAGCTCCTCCTCTTCAGTCCAGCATCAGCTGCTGTAGCTCCTCCTCTTCAGTCCAGCATCAGCTGCTGTAGCTCCTCCTCTTCAGTCCAGCATCAGCTGCTGTAGCTCCTCCTCTTCAGTCCAGCATCAGCTGCTGTAGCTCCTCCTCCTCAGTCCAGCATCAGCTGCTGTAGCTCCTCCTCTTCAGTCCAGCATCAGCTGCTGTAGCTCCTCCTCTTCAGTTCAGCATCAGCTGCTGTAGCTCCTCCTCCTCAGTCCAGCATCAGCTGCTGTAGCTCCTCCTCTTCAGTCCAGCATCAGCTGCTGTAGCTCCTCCTCTTCAGTTCAGCATCAGCTGCTGTAGCTCCTCCTCCTCAGTCCAGCATCAGCTGCTGTAGCTCCTCCTCTTCAGTCCAGCATCAGCTGCTGTAGCTCCTCCTCTTCAGTTCAGCATCAGCTGCTGTAGCTCCTCCTCTTTAGTCCAGCATCAGCTGCTGTAGCTCCTGTAGCATCAGCTGGTGTTGGGAATGACAAACACGAGTCCAAAACACCCCAGAGTACTCAATAATGTTTATGTCTGGGTACTGTGCAGGCCATGGGAGGTGTTTAACTTCTGTCATCTGTCTTCAGTCCTGCTGTGTGTGATTGACCCATTGGGTCACCTGCTCCGCCAGAAGGGTTGGGTAGTCCTTGTTCTTGGAAGTTTGCTGACATTACTCTGGACACACACTTGCTGTGCTGAACAGGTTTGGTTGGTTCTGAAGTGTTTCAGTGTAGTCTCCTCAGCTCATGTGCTGACACTTCAGTATGGTGTGTTCTGTGGAGACTCTCACTGCACTCGGCTGACTCCTGTAAGGCCGCTGGTGTGTTCAGCAGATCTCCATGTCTGAGCTGAGCTGCACACAGCATTAGCAGGAGATTCCTTGTGTGTTGGGTTCCTCCAGCATGAGGATGATGAAGATGCTGAGGCTGAATCTGTTGCTAAGTTACAGCTTCTTAATCCTTCAGTGTTGAAAGCGACGTCTGCAGCTCCACACTGAACACTGAGCGATCCACCCTGCAGACACCAGCAGATGATGAAGAGCTGACATTACCTCACACTGCAGCCGGAGGAGGAGGAGGAGGAGGAAGAAGAGGAGGAGAAATAGCGCTCAGAGGAAGAGGGATGACGGGTCACAGCATCAGGAGCAGGGCTGTGGGTTTAGCATGGGCAGACGGGACGTGTCCTCACCACTATCCACTGATAACTGAAATGTCCACTGTAGCTCAACTGACTGTAAATGATCTGTCCGTCAGCATTAACCCCGCCTACTCCAGCCACTCTGCCCCCAAACTCATATGAGCGCTGTGATTGGCTGAGCCTTTCCCTGCTGTAACAGCACAGGGGATTTGCTGTGCAGGAATGAGGTGTGTGCGGTGTGTGAGGTGTGTGCGGTGTGTGAGGTGTGTGAGGTGTGTGCGGTGTGTGAGGTATGTGAGGTGTGTGAGGTGTGTGAGGTGTGTGAGGTGTGTGAGGTATGTGAGGTGTGTGAGGTGTGTGAGGTATGTGAGGTGTGTGAGGTATGTGAGGTGTGTGAGGTGTGTGAGGTGTGT